AAAAGATATAGAGATGTTATAGATTATTTTGATCTAATATATAATATATTTTTTAGTTATATTAGCTTAAATTATATCTGAAATAGTAAAAAAGTATTTTAAAGAATTAATTAATTTATAAATTGGTTATTTCTTATTATTTATTATAAATTTCTTGAATTTTTTAAAATATATTATACAGAAGATTTAGAATTCTGAGAATTTTTAATATAATTTTTTTTTATTTTAATTCTTGATAATGTTAGATTAAAATGCAATAAAAATTTTAAATTTTATTAAAAAATTTTTAGAGCCTTATTTTCCTAACTAATAAATATTATTAAGTATAGTTTTATAATTTAATATATAATTATTTTTTTGTTTAATTTTATTAATCTAATAAAAATTAAAGTTTTATTAGTTTTATATATTTAACCTGCCCTCCTATATCCATCATTTTTTAGTTTTATTAACTAAAATCAAAGGTCCAGAAGTTTAGGAGAGACTGTCACATATTAGGAGTAATATTATATAATTTATTAAAAAATTTTTTATATACTGTAGTTTACAGTAAATTTTCATAAGACTATAGTTGATGATCTGTTTAATGAAACATGATTAAATAAACTAAGATAATTTGAAGTATTCGCACTGGTCTATTATATATTTTTAATTTCTATTAATCTTACATCTTTATGTTGTTATTCATCTCTAAAGATATGTTTGAGACGAAACAATATATGGAATGCTAAACTACTAGTTCAATTAAATTTTGCTTGTTAAAAGAAGAAAAATAAAAAGAAGTTAAGAACAATGATTTAGTGAAGAAAAGGTATTCTTCTATATAATATTTATTATATACATTTTGTAGAAAACCACCTAAAAAAAGTGTCTAAGAAAGTAAAAATCATGAATGAAAAAGCTATGAATGAAATCATTATGGGTAGAAAAGGTATGAAAGTTAATATTATTAGAGTTATTAAGAAAATGGCAAAATACTTTATGAGAGAAAATATTTAGAAGAAAAAGGTTTTATATATACATTTAATGAAATATGAAGACCATTTCAAGAAATTGAAATGAGCTTAAAGAAATTTCTTTGACTAACTATATTTAGTAGCTTGGTATTTAAACGTAATGAGCAAATGATAAATTATATAAAGAAATTAATATGTTTATTTGTTATCTTCTTGCATCGCTGAATAACATAAAAATCAACTCCTTTAAATTTGATCTTGCATATTATTTAGATTCTGTAGATATAAGTAATGAGGATTTGAATATATTAGCAAATCTTGGCATAACTACAATAACAAAAATAGTAAATTATAAAAAGAAAAAGATATCAGATGCATATGAAAAATACATAGAAAATGAACTTATAAAATATTTGAAAAATGTGTTTATGTTGAATGTTGATGATTATCATAACATCTATACTCAAAGAAAACCTGATACTACAGATATGTCTTGGAAAATACATATGATAACAATCATAATAACTTCATGTTTCACACCAGTGATACCACAAAATGGAGTACTTAATCTAAAGATTATTGATAATAAATTAATTAAAAGGCATCTTGATGAATAATTTTTTGTTATATACAGAATTATGTAAAAATAGAAATTACTGATAATAAGCTCATAAAAAAGTTAATGTTGTACAGTGGGTATCAAAAGTCACTGGACACTTAAAAATTAAGAAATCGACGGAAATATTTACTTCAAATTAAACTTTTTTTTTATTAATATAATCGATTTTAGTAAATTTGTACATCATAATGAATTACATATATCATAAAATATTTATAGATATCTAATAAGTAATAAAATTTATATTGCATATTTTATGCAATATTTTAGTGTTTTTAATACAAATTTTCAGCTATTATAAAACATTAAATTTTTTAACTAAATTTTATTTTAATTTATTAAGTAAACCTGTTAATCATATTAAAAAATATATTTTTTAAAAAAATTTTATATTAATTACTTTTATATTCGTTGAGATCATCTTAGTTTAATGAATAAATATCTATGCGTAATGTTAATCATTTTTCAATTTCAAATCTAAAATTTCAAATCAAGTTTTTTCTATAATATACTTATTGATTTGAATAAATTTTTTTATATTTGTTATACAACATTCTGTATTTTATTTATCAATGAACATTTTTCCCAAAAAATGAGTTTATTAAAAAAAATAACTACTCAACGTAAAGAACTCTTTGAATTTCAACGTGATGAAATTATAGGTGTTTGAAAGTGTGGTTTTAGTAAAAGAAAATAAGTGAAGTATTAAATTATGCTAAATTACAGTTCATGATGTTATTTTTGTATATAAAAATAATAGATTTGAAACACTCCCTCCTCGAAGTGGTAGACCATCTATTTTAACTAATTGAGATGATCATCATTTAATGCAAATTTTTAATAAAGATCATAGAACAAATATTGCTGAATTATGTGAAAATTTTGTTACCTTTACTTCAACAAATATAAGCCAAATTTCTCTTAAAAGACATCTTCATAAAAATGGAGTTTATGGAAGGATTGGAGCAAAAAAACCCTTTGTAAATGTAGCTAATAAAATGAAAAGATTAACTTGGGCTAAAAAAGAAAAGATTGGAAAAATGAATGAGAATATGTTATCTGGAGTGATGAATTTAAGTTTGAGGTATTTAAAGGAGATGGAAAGAGATATGTTTGGAGGAATGCTCAAGAAAAATATAATCCAAAATGTTATATTCCTACATTTAAATCAGGTTAACAGAGTGTAATAGTTTGGGGTTATTTTACAAAAAATAAACTAGGTCTATTGGTCAAATTAGAAGGCAGAATTACAGCGATTATATATAAAAATATATTAAAAAACTATTTAATACCATTTATAGATAGTTTAAAAAATAAAAATAAATATATTTTTCAAGAAGATAATTCTTCTATTCATGTTGCAAAAGTAGTAAAAAAATGGCAAGTGGAAAATAATATTATAAGTTTACCATGGCCTGCACAGAGTCCAGATTTAAATCCCATAGAAAATTTATGGGATGAATTGGATAGAAAGGTCAGAAAACATAAACTATTACCAAAAAATTAAGATGGATTTTGCAGGAAGAATGTTTAAATTTTGATGAAAAAATATATAAAAATCTTATTGATAGTATACCATGTTGTATTTTTGTTGTTATTAACAATAAAGGCAATCCTACAAAATACTAATAATAAAATTATAAAAAATATATTTATGAGTAATTTAAAAAAAAATTGTAAAAATCGATATGATAATTCGTAAGTTATCGCAATTTAAAAATTTGGTATAATTTATAAAAAATAATTAACATCGCATGTGCCCAATGACTTTTGATACCCACTGTACAATTATAATGATAGATTAGTGAAAAAAAGAGTGAATGATACATACAGAATGCTATCCTTATTGATTTCATTAAAAGTAATCTAAAGGGTATGAAAGATTATATAAAAGCTCTTCAAATTGTATATGATCAAAAAGTAATGCAAGCTTATTTTGCTAATTATGTAATTCCTATTATTATAGACTGATCTAGTTAGTTTTACATTTGTAAACTATTACTCAACAGCTCCTTATCAATAATGAAATCATTCTTTTATTTATTACTTCATTTCTGCCTATAATAAGTCACCTTTACATACCTTTAAATGCTTATGAACTTGTATTTTTGATAAATTTTTTTTTTGATAATATTTATAAAGGTATATTCAGAATACGTAAAAATATTAGTAAAAAATCACAATTGTGAAGAATCGATTTAATCCTTCACATTGTACATGTAACATAGTTTAAAATAGTTAATGTTATTTATTTAAAGTTTGATCATACATGTAAGAATGTAGAATTTTTATATTTAACTGATTTACTAAGCAACTTGATTCTTTTAGTTTTTAACATTTATGAAATACACTATTGAGAAGGTAATTGGCTAGCCTATGAAAAAGCTTGCATATATTACTAAAGTAATCTTTTTCGATAATACACCACTAAGTTTTCTATAGTTGAATAATTATAAAAGAAAGCACATTTTATTTTTTTGTATTGAGAAGATAATGCTTTTTAGCAATATTTTGTAAATTCTGTAAAATATTCATATACTTCAAAGCAATTCCATATACTTTTAAGAAGTGTACTATATTACTTTTAGATATATTTACAAAAATATATCAAGCACATAATCAAACTTCCTTCATTAGTTTATGAGATAACAGATTATCATCTTCCAAGAGGCTTTGTTACTGATAAAAAACCTAATACTATTATTCTATGTGATTACATATATTGTAATAACAATTCACTTATAGAAAAATTCAGGTATGTGATCATGGTTATCATAGTATCTGCCTTTAGAAAATTTAGTTTAAATGTTTGATATATTTAGATTATCTTCAAGATGAGGTTAGAAAGAATGTCGATATATTGATAACAAGTTTAATAAAGGAAATAGTTAAAAATGAACATATCAATAATAAAGAAGATGAAATTGATGATGATTTGATTGGTTTAGAAGAGGTAATGAATGATATAGTAACAATAGAAAATTTGTTAGAATATACAAAAAATTCATTTTTAGAATTATAAATTTTATTTTTTTATGTTATATAAATAAAATTGTCAAATTTTTTTTATATAAATTTATGTTATTAATTATCAAATCAATTTATATTTTTGAGCTAATCATTAAGTTGAGTTAATTTTATTAATATCAAAAGAATTAAGCCGAAATTATATATTCTTTAATTGGTTGGTTAACATGTGACAATATCGAAATAACTTAATTTTATTGGTCAGTTATATGTGACATAATCGAATTGTATAGCTTAGACGGATTCACATAATCACGTGACGTTAGTGATATCAAATTTTTGGCGTTTTTAATGTGATAAAATTGAATGAATGATCGACAAATAACGTGATAAAATTGAAAAAAGTTTGGCTATTTATTTGTAAAAAATTTTAGTAATTTAATATATTATCTGTTATAATGAGTAAAGATAAAGAAAAGGAATTAGAAGAAATTTTTGGAAATGATGCAGAAGAGCTTTCTGATGCCTTAGAAGATTTTTCCGATTTTGATGACGAAAGTTCTTTTATAGTTAACACAGATTCTGAAGACGACGTAAGAAAATCACCTGTTAAGTTTAAACAAAGAAGGTCATCTCCTGTAGGTTCACCATCATTACCGGAGGGAGATAGAGACGAAGATGGATATTTTCCAGCACCTTCTTCAAATAAAAGACGTAAGAAACCAGAACAGACTCGAGTAAAGCGACAAAGAAAACGTTCTGAAAGGATAGAAAATCCAGGTGACTTAGATGAAGATGTAGCAGGAAATGTCGAACCCGCTTTAGCACCGTTAATGGCTTCTAAAGCCTTTGTTGATCGTGACTTTGATGAGATCCTACCCAAGAGAAAGGGTAGATCAAAAAAGACTGACATCGAGCTTGATAAAATGTATGATGATGTGGCCATGAAAGTTTACCAGCGCATGATGGAAGCTGGTGAAAAAGATCACTCTAATAATACACAAGGCGTCCATGCTTCTGAAAGAAATGAGATATTATCGTGGGTTATGGATAAATTAGAAAAAGCGTACCTTAGGGAATCATTGTTAGAACACAATATATTGGATGCAATCAGATTATGGCTTGAGCCATTACCAGATCGATCATTGCCAAGCCATAATATTCAGGAAGATTTATTAAAATCTCTAAATGATGTAAAGTTTTAAATTTGTGAATTGCAAAATTATATTTAAATATTTGATTTTAACATTTACCATTTTTTTTAGTTTAATATCACAACCGATCTTTTATTAAGTTCGAAAGTTGGTCGTATTGTATATTTCTATTCAAAAAGTCCTCGTATAAACTTTAACATTCAAAGACAGGCTCAGCAATTAGTTGATAAATGGGCCGGACCAATCAATGGACAATCGAATAATTACAGGGAAAAAATTATGAGAATGGTTCATGATGCAAATTCGTGAGTTGAAAAAAAAGAAATTAAATTCTATTTTATATTAGGTAAATTTATAATTTTATATTTCGTTTTTTAGTGGGTCATCTTTCCCAGTTGCTGGCACTTTTGATGCAATTCCAACGATTCGTGGCGGTAAGCGTGATGATCCTTACAAGAACATCAAAAGGACTATGGCTCGATTGAGACGTACTGGAAAATGAATGTTGGCAAGTGCATTTATATACATTCATACTATTTTCATTATCTTTATTTATTTACGTTACGTCTCAAATTATTTCTTGGAAAAAAAATTTAGGATGGTTCGTCAATTTAGGTTTGGCTATTTGCAAGTTTTTTGAACGGGAATATTTCAAAAGAAGATATATATATATTTAATTTAAAATAACAATAATAATTTTTTTTTTTTTGCCTTTGGTTTTTTTACATTCAAGTCTTTATAATTAATTCTCGGTTCCAGAGGCTTTCGTTTTATATAACGGTAATTTATTGAGCATCTACTATGAAATTGAATCGATGAATTAAAAAATTTTACTATGATGATAGATCGATATGAATTTTGGTGGGTCATGGACTAGCAAAATTCCCTCTGATAAATATTTTACTTTGAGAAATTGGGAATTTAAAAATTGTCATCATTTCGAACAAAATGCAATGTTCCAATTTTAGATTTTCGAAAAAAAAAATTTTTATGCGATATTTTAGAATATTATTATAAAATCATAAAAAAAATTTTTTTTTTGAAGGAAGACATTTTGCTAGTCCATGACCCATTGAAGAAATAAACTAGAGTCCTATTTGATATAAAATTAAACTTTAATAATGGTAAAATTTTAAGATAGCAATATACTTTTGCAATAGATTTTTCTTATTCTAAACATTACAGATATGTAAAACATATGAGGACAATAATAAATGTTATATATTTGATCTTTATGTGATTAAAAAAGCTTTATTTTCTTTCATATTATTATTATTTTCTAATTAAACAATATTATAAATTTATTATTAAAATATTATTCTTAATCAATTATATATAAGTTAATTGCCGATCCGCATGTGACCGATAGAATTTATATCATATATAACTAGCGAGTTAGTCTTTTTTACCACATATTTAATGCATATCAGGCATATCAGAAGCGTAATGCGTCATACAAACGTAATTTGTCATACAGAGAATGATGATCATGATGAGTAGATTATTTTTTTATAATTTTTTTAAATAAGCATAAATGATTGATTTGAAGATTTTTAGTATATGTTTTTTTTTTGATATGATATATTTTTTTATAATTAAATTAAAGATTATGATAAGCAAATTATGATTTTAGTTAAACAATTTATCTAATAAAAAGATCTTTATATTTAAAAATGGTATTAGTCAGATAATGTAATGCTTTATCACTTTTATTTAAAAAACGAGCATTTTATGATTGAAAATTATAAGGATTTAATCGTGAAATATTATGTAATCTTTGATATTCTAGGATCATATCCTGATCTGTCATGAATGCTGACCTATCAAGATGAGAAATCTCAACATTATCCCAGGTAGAACATCTGCTAAGGGTGACATAGGCTTGACCTATAGAGAAGATATTTTGATCTAAAGCAAGAGAAACATTTGGTAAAGTTAAGCCTTGTGTTTTGTGAACAGTCAGAGCAAAGCAGTTTTGTAGTGAATATTGAGTTCTGTGATAGTTATTTCCAAATAGTTGAAAGTGATGTGTTTATTTGTAAATGGTTGTATCTATTATTGAACCTCTTACAGAAAATGCGACTCAAACAGAATGATCGATAAGGTTTAAATCCATAATAATTCCAACTGTTCTATTACAAATTCCTTGTTCAAATAAAGAGTTATTAAGACACATGACACGAGCACCTGGTTGTAATTTTACAGAAGAAGGTAGATTTGTTTTACTTTTAAAAGAGCTTTCAGAAAAACAAGAATCCCACAATGTGGAATTTACTGAATCTATAGCTTGTGATATAAAGAATTTTCCTTCAGGAATAGGTAATATATTACAAATCATTCGATTAATTTGCTGAGCATTTTCTCTAAAGCTGACAATATTAGTAGTATTGAGAAGTGTATCAATTACTAAACATGATAAAAATTCAGAATGTTTTTGATTGAACATCTGCCATGTTTCAGCAGATATATTACCCATCTGAACTTCTTGTAATATTTGATAGAATCTGTTATCAGATTGTTAACGTTGTGGAGTCGTTAAGAATAAAGGATAGAATAAAGTCTGGGTCATTGAACGAAATACAGGTTGACCTGTAATAGGTGGTAATTAAGCAAGTCACCTACTACAATCACATTTATTCCACCAAATGGGATAGCATTATTGTTGAGATTGGCAAAAAGATTAGATATAAAATCAAAGAGCTGTGCTGAAACCATTGAAATTTCTTCGATGATGATAATATCAATTGTTTTTAATGATTCATTTAATTTTTTATCAATATATGCACATGTACGAAAGTTATCATAATTTGAAATAATCTGCAATGCAGAATGGATAGTTCTTTCTCCTACATTTTGGGCGGCAACACCAGTAGGAGTCAGGAGAAGATATTTAGATTTTTTCTGTTTAAGAGTGTTTATTAGCAGGTTTATGATATATGATTTACCCGTTCCTACAGAACCTGTAATAAAATAATATGGCCATTTGATACCATTATTTGGGTCAAGATATGAAGAGATTGTTGATAAGACATAATATTGATCTTCTGGTAGATTAAGTATAGCAGTTTCAGGTAATATGTGAGGAAGTATCTTGATATTTTCCAATTGTAATCTTATAATATCCTGAATTGTTGTTGGGAGTTCTTGGTGTAATAATTGTAGCAATCTGTTTAGCATTTCGGCAAATTGATTATTAAGATAAGTGATATGTAAGTGATGATTATTTGTAGTTTGGATTTGTAAGGTTGTCAAAAAATCAGGAAATAATGACAAAAATTTTTGTTAGTATGTTCCATTAGCTCCTATTCTATAATCAGATTCATCTCTTGCTGGTATGGTAAGAAGAAGTTTCTGATAGAAGTATAATTCAGCATCTTGAAGTTTAAGAAAATGATATCTCACTATTATTTCTTTAGATTGTTTTACAACATAATTATTCAATTGATCATAAAAGATCGATTGATTAGTTAAAGGTCTTGAAGGAGAGATCAAATATCTTTCAAAATATTGAGGATAGGTAAGTAGATCAAATTCAGGAGAGATAGGTCATGCCATATATTTGGTTATGGTATCATCATAATAAAGGTTTTTATCTTCTTCATGTATTAAATAGATAGGAAACACTAGACGAGATCTTGTATTAGGAGGTTCAGTAGTAAGGAATTTTACAGTACTTGATGAATTACAGATTTGATAACCTAAAAGCAAAAACATCAATTCCATAGAGCTGAGTCTTCGTGCGATCACATGTTCTCTTAATGTGTCTCCATCTTGTATGTTAAATACATAAGAGGGTTCTCTTTTAACGATATATTTTATCATATATCGAGTGAATCCTCTATCAGTTATATATTAAATATTCATATAAGCATCCCATAATAAGAGAATAGCAGGATGATAAGGGACTATCCATGAATCTGCATTAGTCAAACATTTGTAAATATAATGGAAGGCACCTTCTTGATAATGAGTTATTTGACTGTAAGGACGTGGAAAACCTTTTTTACACGTCTGACCTTGTGAAGCAGGACCTTGATATCTATGATTGCAAGTATGTATTGATTAGCTATTATAGAAGCATATAATTCAGGCTTATATAGAGGATCAGGTATTATTGAGCGGATGACATCATTTGCAATCATATCTGAAATAGAATTATCAGTCCAATAACAACTATGAGTATGTGCTGCACCCCTATTTTGAAATTCAACTCGATCAAAAAAGTCTGTTATCTTGCCAAATCCTATAAGTTCAGGTTTTTTATACAATTCCTTTTTTAAAGATTGAAATTTGTGAACAAAATAATTTGCACAATGATAAGGTCTATTTGTTGGTAACGGATCATTGTTATCTGTATTAATAAGTATATTATGAAGATAAGTCCAACATTCTTCAGCCATCATCAAGGTTATGAATAATGATGGTAGACCAGATTTTTTTAGCATTGCATTAAGGTGAAGTTGTTTGTGATGAAAGTAAGTATCTCCTGTGTGTATAAAAGTAGGCAGGGAATCGTTTTAGTTTCATATAATCTCAGATATCTATTATATTCACTAGATTGAAGTAATTGCCTTGCGGTAAGAAGATTGTTTATGTTAGGATTGATATTATTTTGTCTTAAAAGTCATTGAGTATTTTGATGATGTCTTAGTTTCTCTAATTACAGGTATGACCAAGAAGGTCAGTGATGATGAAGCCTCCATCGTGGATCATAATTCATTAATTGTTGTCTGATATATTTACCATAAGTTTCTTCTCTCATATCATCATCAGTGATATCTGACTGATTTAATATATCATGAAAGTGACCTTTTCCATCTGTAAATAGATTAGGAAAAATTAATAGTTCTAGATTAGGATCATATGTAGCGATAGGAATACGTAATGTATCACTTTCACAGATGAATCCTGCTATTAATCTAAAGTAATGGAAGTCTTCATTGTGAACTTTATCTGGAAAGTTCAAATTGAAAACTATGATATCTCGAGTGTTTACAGGTGGGATATCAAGATCAGTAGAAAGATGTGTTGCCCTTGGAAATAGTTGATTCTTGCTGTATTTTGTTCATCACGTGATATTAACATGTTAGCATAAAGTTGAAGGTATAGATTATTATTTGCTAACCAAGCTGCAACGTGTTTTAGAATTTGATCATGAATCAGATCATCATTTAGATATCTTGAGGCAGTTGATTGATTAATATCGTCTGGTTGATCTATAAATGCGCCTAAGATTCCAGAATATAATGCATGCACTCTAATGTTACGGGAGTAATTTATTGATCTAGTCAAGCATCTATATTCTGAGA